GGTCTAGTTGCCCAGCGGGAGAGACACCCCCACGGGCCGGGCACGACCGCACCGGGTGGACCGCTGGACAGATGCACCCACTCACCACTCCAATCCGCCCCCCGCCCCATGAGAGCACTTCTTCCCCCGACGAAGGCACAGCCCTCACGCCCCCCAGAAGACACAAACTCACCTCCCTCTCCCCAACGAGGCATGGAGACCCCGCTCAACACGCCCCCTCTCCGCTATTTGCTCCCTTGGATGGCTCTGGGTCTACCCGTTTGGTGTTTGAGGAAGGGGACGCCCGCGCTTCCCTGCTCCGGGGCCAACCATGCCCACTCGCGCCCCCCAAGGGCGGGGGAACGCTCCAGTCCTGCCTGTGCTTGACAATCCCCAGGCCTGGAGCACATCCCCAGGCTGGCTCCTGGGGCGACGCCACGCCAGAGGGAGGGCTTAATTCGGGGAGGGCTAGCCCCGGGACTTGGGGCCAATAAGGGACCCCACCCCTTCCATGCTAATCTCACTGCCCAGTGAAGGGGAAGGGCAGCGAGGGGCAGGACCCCTGCTGCCCATGAGGGGTAGGGGGGTCCCCAACCCTTTCCGTGAAAGGGACCATGAGGAGTGGAAATCAAGACGTCCCCCTAAAGCCACCCATGGATGGAAGCTAAAGGGCTGGGGGAGCCAAGAGCCTGGGTCCCTCCTCACTACTATCTTAGGAGGGAGAAGGGATGGAGCAGGAGCAGGCTAAGGGGGCTGGGTAGCGGCCTTGTAATTTATTGCTTTGTTCCCCAACAAGGGGACAGGGGTGGGCAGGGGCTTGGGGAGGGTGATTCAGGGTAGGGAAAGCCAAGGGTGGGAAGAGGGTGGGGTGGGGTGGGGGTGCTCTTGGGTTGTGAGTGTCTGTGACCGTGACTGCGTATCTGTGACTGTGCAGCACCCGTGGTGATCTGGGGTAGGGGGCACCCCTACAATGGGACCCCTCTCCCACTATTTTTCATATACAGCCCCTCCCTCCCACTGGAGCTTCTCCAGACCCACCCCTCAACCCCATGATCCCTCCCAGCCAGGGTAAGAAGATGTGAAGTGGCTGGGAGGGTTTCCAGGCCCCCTGCCCTACCCCCAGAAAATGGGTGGTGGGGTGGACTTACCTGGCCCAGCCCTGCCTCCCTCAGTCAACCCAGCCCTTGGGTCCTCTGTGTCAGTGGTTTCCGGTCTTTTTTTTTTTTTTCTGGCTAAAATATTTTGCAAAGGACCAGGTAATTGGGAAGGGGAGGGGGCATTGCCCCCATCTCCTCAGAGACAGGTGGTGTGAATCTTCTTCAACAGCTATTAAAGAGGAAATGATTTTGTCTAGGGGGTGAGCTGCTGGTCTGTTCTTGAAGAAGTGGGTCAGGGAGTGGCCTTGGGCAAGGTGGGGAACTGGAGGTGGGAGAGGGCCACCCCGAGAGGGTGCCTCCTGCTGTGGCTGGTGGCAGGGTACCCCCAGTCTCTAAGGGCACCGAGGTGGTAGGTCAGTTACTCCATCGTGTACAAGAGTTCTGGGTTCATGTAGAAGGAGACAGGCAGGTCAGAGCAACAGTGGGGATCCAGGGAGCAGAGAAGTGACTCCCAAGGTGACCCCAGTTCTGGAAAGGAGTTTAGAGAGGAAGGGAGTGGGGGCTGCTTGGAGAAGTGAGAGGATGGGGTAGTTTTGGTTAAGAGCAGGAATTTTGGAGTCAGATCTAATTTTGAAACTAGGCCCTCCACGTCGTAGCCAGGTTGCCTTGGTTAGGTTACCTGAGTGGTATGTGTTGGGCACCTGGTAAGGGCTCTAGGGCCAGCCCATGGGAGTCTGTCCCGGGCTAGCCTGCTCACCTTGAGCACTTGGTACTGGAAGTAGAGCTTATTATAGGAGGACCCTTCTCTTGGCCAAGAGGGAAGAGGTACAAGATCTCCCAACTGCAGAGTTCCTGATATCCATGAAATCCATGCCCAGTCGATGCAGACATTTGCCCACTTCCACATCATCCACAGGACCAGGGAGGCCATAGCATCCTATGGCCAGTGCTGCCTCCAACAGCTGCAGCACTTGCTTAGCATGTAGCCAATTCTGCTGTTCGTTCTTCATGTGCAGCCAAAGTGTTTGCCCTGGGAGAGGGCTGGGTGGGGTGGTATTGGGCCAGCAGCCAACACAGGCTTGGCACAGCCACCCACGTGTTGTCATCACCTTGATGGACCAGTCAATGGCCCATTGTCTTCCAGTAGAGTTGGTGCCGGCTCTCAGCCCCATGATGGACATTCAGCTGCAGGTGAGCCACCAAGCTAATTAGATGTGGTTACAGCAATGGGCCCAGGTCCCATCCACATGGAGGCCCTGGTTCTGCAGCTTCTTGGGCTGGGTGATCACCCGGCACAGTAGCCCAATCAAGGACAGCTGTAGTCAGCATGCTCGGTTGAAAAGATGGATTCAGAGGTGCAGTGCATCGAAAATGCAGATGCAGTTGTGTGATTTGGGAAGGCAAAGGGAGTGGAAGAGGGGCAAGTGGCAAAGAAGACTCAACTAGAAGACCTGGCCATTCTCCTTGCAGCTCAAAGACCCTGGATTCTCCCACTTCATCTCCTTTCCTTGGTGGCAAAAGCTTACTCCCTTCCTCAGAAGCTCAGCAGTGAGAGAGAGTATGGGAAGGGGACAGAAACCCTGGAGAGAAGGGAATTACTACAGGGATCACAGGCCAGGGGTAAGTTTCTTTCATATCCAGCCAGTGAAAGGTAGGGTGTCAGCAAATCCCAACCCTGAGTAACCCACAGGATTCTTTCTTCATGGGCTGCGTCTTTGGTTTGGTTGGAGATGTAAAGGGTGGTAATGGATGGGTGACAACATATCATGCCCTCCAGGTGATGTCAGGATAGGACTCTAGAAGGGAACTCCCTGTGGGGCTGAAGGAGAGCTTATACCCATGCCACCATCCCAACTTGCCTTGGGTGTCCTTACCTCGATTCTTACTACCATCTGCCCTCCCCCTTCCCACCCCATCTGGTTGCCATCTGCCACACACCCTGCTCCATTCCCCTTTCATTTGCCTTAGCACAGCTGGGGCAGACCAACCTCCTCCATGGGATTTTCACCAACAGCCAAAGGAAAGTAGAAGAATTTATTATCAGAAGTACAAAATGATTAAATCTAATGAGGATTCTAGAACTCTGTTTTCTGATAAGACTCCACCTGCATCAAATCAGTAACCCTCCTGCCCCAGCTTCTCCCTACCTCACATTCTAAAAGATTCTATTGTGACTTCTGATCAACTTTTGGGATTCCTTCTAAGGCTCTTGCCTCCATCCAGTGTCTTCCGCACTTACTGTGGATCAGAGACTGGGCTAAAAGCATGACACATACTATCTCATTCAATCCGCAAAACCACCCTACAAGGCCGGTATAATTATCCATAATTTACCCTCGAGGAAACAGTACTTGAGAAGTGAGGTATCTTGTTCAAGGTTCCACTGACTGTAAACGGGGTGAGGATTTGAACCCAGCATGCTGATTACAGCTGCCCTTGAGGCTGTGTCTCTGATTTTGCACAAGTGAAGCATCCTTCTCTTCAAGATACACAAATGGATCTGGGGAAAAAGGGTTTTATACATCTACCCATTACATTTCTAAGTAAAACAATTTAAGCGTAACATGCGCAATAAGCACACAGCAAGAAGAGGGTCAGTCTCATACAACCTCCTTCAACAATAACGAATCTCACTTTTCATTTTTGGAGACCTGGGAGTTCATGCCATCTAGCTATTGTCTTACCTTGTGAGTCAGTGGAGAGTCTTCAGCAGGAAGGCTGTACACCTCAGCGATGGAGAGAAAGGAGAGGTTGGGTGAATCCACATCTGCACTTGGCAATGAGGAAGAGGAGACATCTCCCCAGGCCCACCTACCCTTGGCATACTAGGAAACTAGCCAGTGTGGGCGGCAGCCCTTTCTCTGGGCATGGCCAAAGGTAGAGGTCTTTTCTGGGAGATGTGGAGTGGTGTGGCCAGGTGGGGATGGGCTGTGGCTGGCAAACAGGATCTGCAGCATGCAACAGGGAGAGTTCAGCAGAGGGGGAAGCCCCGTGGGGGGCTAACACTAGTGTGCATTTGGCTTTCGGGAAGTAAAGAGGGGGCGGGGAGAGAAGGAACAGAAATGGACAGATGAGGAAAAGGAGGGAATGACAGGACCGTAGGTGTTTCAGTCCTTGCCAGGCCACTGGGCTGGCCTGCTTATCTGCCCTGGCCGCCTCTGTAGTCCAGGCCCCCACTGATACCACCTGGGAGGAGTGGAGCACAGAACAGGATGAGACCATGTGCTCTGCCCTGAAGAGAGCACCAAGCCTCCTCCCTACTTGAGCCCCCACCCCACCTATCCAGCCCAGCCCCCCACAAAAGAAAAAGAAGATTGATGGAGTAATGGTCCAGTTCTTTATTTAGAAACCTGATTGTTCAAGAACATGATGGGTGGGTCTGTACCCCACCCTTTTCACTGGATTGTATCAGAGGCGGTGGGCAACTTTTTCCTATTTCTCAGCAACAGAGGAAGGTGCCTCAACTCAGATTGTAGGGAACAGTGTGGAAAGGGAAAGGAGCAGGAAATCCCAAGCCAATCCAAGGGAAGGGGGTAGGTGACTCTCAACAGCAGCAGGGGCAGGGTCGGCCTGTCTCTTAGGGCCTGCTACACAGCGCAGGCTTCATGCTCCTCCTGCTCTACTCTACTCAAAATATCTCTGGGGGGGTAGTGGGGGGGGACAGGGACCAACAAGTTAGGGGACATAGCAGGGAGGGGCTGTGGGGACAAGCCTGGAAGAGCAACACTCACAGGCCCAGGGAGGTCTTCAGGGAAGCTCTCAGCAGTAGCAGCAGCACTCACCCCATGGCCCCTCCACACCCTGGCTGGGGGCCCAGAAGTCCACAGCTCAGCTCTCCTCTGCCGCTTTGCCTTCAGGGTCCCAGGGGGTGGGAGATGGGTGGGGAGGCAGTGGGGCTGGTTGAGGAAGACTCTGGGCTCCTTGGCGAACCGATGGTAGTAGTGGTTTCAGAAGTCAAACTCATCCAGGTCCCCCGTGCCCTCCCCGCCTCCAGAGCCCCACACCCTGCGGTAATTGCTCTCCAGCTCTTTCTGTCGCTGCCGTTCCTTCTGTGCCTCTTCGGCTCCCTGCACCTGGTAAGGGAGGGGAAACAGGGTGAGCTGCAGGATCCAGAACTAGCAGCATGGGGAAGGCCGGGATGGGGCACACACACTTCCCACAGGGCTCTTGCCAAGGGCCCAACGCCCAGGGGCCAGGACCACCAGCCTGTCTTACAGACGAGGAAACTGAAGCCCAGACAGTGGCACGCCTGGGATGGGCCTGTGTCACTCAACCACTCTCCACACCACAGCGCACTGGAGGCGGGGCCAGGCTGGAGGTCCGGGACTTGGAGGTAGGATGCCTCTCACCAAGATATTGAAGAAAATCTCCTTAAGGTTTTTCGTGTCCTCATCAGTCAGCCAGCGTGAATCCTCCTCAGTCCCTTCAGCCCCTGGGCGGACAATTTTGATCTCAATTTTCCCTGGAAAGAAGCAGGATGGGCAGTGAGAGGAGAGGACTGGGGAGCTTCGGTGCAGGTCCTCTGCCCCCCCAGGGCCCCGGCCGCCAGGTTTCCAGTCCACCTTGACCCAGCCCCTCTGTTTCCAGCAGCAAACCCTTCCAACAGCTCTTAATCCAGCCCCGCCCCCAGGGCCCACCTTCGGCTGTGAGTCCCTCCCTCTCCAGCAGCTCTTTCACCAGCCCCTCGATTTGTTTCAGCTGTGGGTTTTCCCGTTTCATCTCGAGGACTGTCAGATCCTGATTGGGGCCTCCGTGACGGAGCTTGGTGACCCGGACCCGGACTCTGTGCTCAGGATCCTCCTCTTAGAGGGGGAGACACACAGGGAGACACAAAGCGGAGCCGTGACTCCAGGGTTAGG